CAACCGCAAGGATGCCGGCCACCCCCAGCCCGTCCCCCCGGACGACAGCCAGCCTCCCCGTCCTGGGGGGCACCCCCAGCAGACCCACCCTCGGGGCCACCAGCGGCGTGGCCAGCCAACCTGCCAACACGACTGTGTCCCACATGAGCACCACCACATGGGGATGGACGACACTTCCAGACCCGGAGACGTCCACGCACGCCCAGTCACCAGGTACCGTGAGAGGCGGAGGGTCACGTGGGAGGGAAGGCCTGCCAGTCAGCCCATGCCACCGTGGCAGACGCTGCAGGCATTCATACCTTTGCAATCCCTGAGGCTGGAGTACGAGGCCACAGGGCTGGTCTCTCCCGAGGCCACCCTCTTTGGCTCCCGGGCTCTGCCTCCTCCCCATGTTCCCACACGGATGCCCTTGTGTGTCTGTGTCCTAATCTCTTCTCCTAAGGACGCCAGTCCTATTGCATCGGGCCCACTCACGTGACCTCTCTGACCCTGGCCATCTAAGCCGGGCTCAGTGGCTCAGCCTGTCATCCCGCACCTTTGGGAGGCTGAGGTGAGTGGATTGCCTGAGCCCGTGGGTTCGAGACCCGCCTGGGCAGCGAGACCTCATCTCTACAGTATATCAAAAAATCAGCCGGGCGTGGTAGCGCGCCTGTAGTTCTGGCTACTCGGAAGGCTGAGGCGGCAGGATCGCTGGAGCCCAGCAGGCGAGGCTGTGGTGGCTGGGAGTGGCCACTGCGCTCCAGCCTGGGCGACACAGAGACCCCAATACACACACACACACACACAGACCCACACTCCAAATAAGGCAACATTCAGAGATCTGAGGGTTAGAACGACGTGGACATGCCCACAAGTCCTGGCAGCCGTGGCCACAGCACTTGGGCACAGGTCCCTGGCCTGGTGGCAAGTGTCTCACCCCGTAGCGCCTCCTGCTTCTGTCTTAGGGTCTCTTGCGGGTGCCGGGGCAGGGGCGCCCCTGGCAAGAGGGGCCCTGTCATGGGCTGCTCTGCTCACTCCTCCCACGCCATCTAGGCCTGGGGTGCCACAGGGAGCGACCAGTGCCGTGGCGGGACTGTCAGGGTGTGGGGGAGGCGGGCAGAGCAGGGAGGGGCCAGTGTGGGGC